TATACTATACATTTTCTGGTCCTTCGAGCCGGATATAACGCACGTAAAGATGTTCAATATTGTCGCAAGGATCACTCTGCAACAGAGCCGTTTCTGTTTGATACAAGAGGCTGCGGATTTAGACGATACAGATGTTCCACGTCCAAATCGTCAATTAGTCAACGCCCGATTGGAAATGCTGGAGCAGAATTGGACCAAATTCCAGGAAGAACACGAAAATTTGTGTCTGTCGGAGTGCGATACATTGAGCGAGCAATCGTACATAAAGGAGCGCGTTTTTGAACGCTGTCAGGCGTTTTATGTATATGCTCGTGCCAAGTTACTTACTCTCCGAGACGACTTAAATGTGATGGATCAACATTCCAGATCTACTCTCTCTGATCACGGACTTTCTACCTCTTTGATGCCTCGTAGCTCACTGCCTCGAATTAAATTACCTAACTTCTCTGGCGATTATCAGTCATGGAGAACTTTTCATGACTTATTTTCGTCTCTGATTCGAGATAATGCAGATTTATCAAGTATAGAAAAGATGCATTATTTAAAAACATGTGTTACAGGAGAAGCGGCCCGTCTGGTAGGTAATCTGCCAGTTACTGGAGACAATTTCGCAGTTGCCTGGAGTTTATTAATTTCACGATATGAGAATAAGCGTTTCCTAATATCCGCTCAACTTGACAGGATTATGAACATGAAGCCGCTAAAATCAAAGTCCGCTCAAGGTCTCAGAACACTATTGACTACAGTTACAGAAGCTATTGGCGCACTGCGTGCATTAGGATGTATGGTGCATCATTGGGATCCGCTACTTTTACATCAACTCGTGAGATTATTAGACTCGGAAACTCGTGAAGCATGGGAGGTGAAACTTGGATCGTCTGGAATTTATCCGACATTTTTACAATTTGAGGAGTTTCTTATTGGAAGGACACGTGCATTAGAGAATCTTGGATTGCATACAACAACTTCTGCATCTCAAAAGGAGCCAACTGCCTCTTCCACGGTAAGATTTCGCAAAGGGATCTCGGCTCATGTTGCTACTTCCGATTCAGGACCTTCTGCTTGCCCACTTTGTGGATCTTCGCATTATATAGCGAAATGCGAACGTTATCAGTCCAAAACTCTTCAACAACGGGACATTATTACGAAACATCGACGATGCTTTAACTGTCTTGGTTCTCATGCTGCGAGTAAATGCATTTCCACTAAGCGATGTATGAAATGTGGCAAAAAGCATCACACTTCAATTCACGATGCTAATAACGGAACACCTTCTAAACGTCCCCTTGACTCTTCATCTAAGAACAATACTGAACAATCTACAGTAATACCAACCCAATCAACAACGGACTGACAATTAAAATTATGCGCTCATCTTTCCGGACAAATATTACCTTTTCGCAAGCTTACACTACTAGCAACATGCCGGGTCCTATTGCGAAACAATGATGGCGAGCTTCATGCAATACGTTTACTGATCGATCAAGGATCAGAATTGTCTTTTATTTCGGAAGATTTAGTTCGACGCGTTCAAGTTAATCGCAGTGCCGCTTCAATACCACTTATGGGAATCGGTGGAAAGTTTTGCGGTCGTACCAAAGGCGTTGTCTCAATACAATTACAGTCCATTCACGATTCAAACTCTAATTGCACCATTAATGCTCTCGTATTACCACGTTTAACAACAAAGCTACCACCTTTCAATGCAGCATGTTGTGCATGGCCTCACATTGCCGGACTACAACTTGCAGATCCGGATTTTTCCTGTTCCGGACCGATACATATTATTATAGGCTCGGATAATTATGGTTCGGTCATTCTGCCCGGTTTAATTCGAGGCGATTCATTATCGCCTGTGGCACAACAAACCATCTTTGGATGGGTTCTTTCAGGTCCAACTACAACGAACGAT